ATTGATGCGTTTTTTCATAGGCCCGCAGCAAATGAGGAGAAGCAAATATAGAAAATTCTAGTAGTGATGTGATCCTCAACTTGATAAGAAAGGGTGGTGAGTTTAAAAAGTTCTGCCCATGAGGAGTACTCAACGTTCTCCATGTCGTGGGTGATATGAAATAAATTTTTTTATATTAGTGATGGTAATAGCCGGGTGAAAAGCGGAAGACTTTTTAGAGCTCATGGAGGGGAGAGCTTGGTGTCTGATACCAATTAGTTTTCCACGGTAATGTAACTCTCGTATTGATCAAGGGGATAATACAACAACTGATCCAAAGGAAATGGATTGCACAAACTAATGATATACAAGTATATACTAATCTAAAACACATATGCGCAACATGATAAGAATACAGTTGCACAACTATGAGAAGAGCATATGACCATGCGTATAAATAGGACTAAATAACAAAAAGGGTTAATGTTAGCTAGGTTAAATCATTACACTCACATATAACATAATATGCTCGGGTTACAGAAGAGAGGAGCGGCAATGGCATGGGCAAATCCTAGCCGCCGCCTCCACTTTTTCTCTTCGTTTCTTCTCTTCTTCCAATCTTCTTTGATTTCAATAATAGAAAAACATCTTCTTAATCAGTGTTTTCAGTTTTTTTCATCTGTTTCTTTCCCAACGTTGTTTGGAGGTATTATTTTTGGTAGCGAAATATCGTTTGCCAGATCCATATTCCACACCACTTGTGGTCGGACGTTTTTGTGTGCTAAGAAGAGATATGCACTAATCTCTTCATCAATCAAAAACATGATTTTCTTTTGCACAAATATTGAGATGAATCGCCCCCCTCCTGAACCACCGTTGTTTCAGGAAGATGAGATCATTTGGATTGCTTTCTTTTCGGTGGCTGGTGAAACCGGAACAAATTCTATAGTTGGCTCCTTACCGGTGGATGGAGAAACTGGGATGTTTATGAGTTCTTTTGGTAATTATTGTGATCGTAGCAGGAGCAGTCAATCTGCAGGTAGAGTCTACTTCTTTGCGGGATTAGTGATTCAGTGTTTTCGATTAGAATCGTCTGTTTCCATGTCTCATCTCATTGTAGCCTTGAGCTTTAATTTATGATTGTAATGTTTCTTGTCATCTTCATTAATAATAATTAAGTTATTTGTTTTCAAAAAAAATAGGGTTAATTATCTAAATATGATTAAAAGGTAGTCAATAATCACAAATAAGACTACCTTGTATTTTAACTCACTAGTAGGACTTATTATGTTTGTTTAGACAAATATACCCTTGTAGGTATTGAAATGTTTTACTACCTCCGTCCCGGTGGACTTTGCCAAGTGCAAAGTAGGTAAGAAATAAAAATAGTAAAAACTGTGTGGTTGAGATTTGTGCAGAAGAAAGAGAAATGTGCAGAACCACAAATTAGTTGTTTTAATATGAAAGTGGCAAAGTATTTTGGGACAATCAAAAATGGAAAGTTGGCAGTCCAATGAGCAGAGGGAGTAATTCATAATAGAATCATAAAAAATAATTAAAATTTAAAAAATTTAAAAAACAAAAAAAAAGCATAAAATAAATAATCGACGTCACCTCTGCCACCCCAGCACCACCACCACCTCCTGTCACGGAGAAAAACAAAGCAGATTCACTAAAAAATTTGGCCTTCTCAAAGAGTAATATGCATTCTTTTGGTATTTTCAGAAAAAATGACATTTTTTTTACAAAAAATGGCATTTTTTACACTGGTCGGAGGTGGTGCTGCAGGCCGGGAGGCAGTACAAGAGGTGGAAAAAGCATCCATTTATTAATGAATTTTTACTATTTTTTATTTTTTAAAAAAAATATTTTATTAATATTTTTTATTTATTTTTTCTATGATTTTTATTATTTTTTACGATTTTATTATGAATTAAAACCTCTAATTAAGACTTTTGACTATCTTTTACTCATATTTAAAGGAGGGGTATGAATGAAATGAAAAAAAGGTATGTTTTGAAATAGGAGTTTTGGAATAAAAACATAAGAAGCCCTATTTTTTATTTTTAGTCTAATTTATTCTTATTTCAGGTAATTTCTATAACAAATAATATTAATGCTAATAATAGAGCCATGATGATACATGTTGACCGAGACCAAGCATACAGCATACGTTAACAGTATAATTATAATAAAAATATTAGAAATTGCTCTAAATAGGAGCAAGAACGTTTTGAAATTCCAAAATAGGAGTATCATGTTTTTTATTCCCTGAATAGGAGTAATCTGTCAAGTTTGAAAAAAATGTCATGTTTTAAAACTTAGTAATGCCAAACTTGGCAGAAATTTACTCATATTCAAGGAATAAAAAACATGATACTCCTATTTTGGAATTTCAAAACTTTTTTACTCCTATTTAGGGAATTCTCTCTAAAAATATTAAGTATTACTATGTACAACATTAATGGGTTTACGCCGTTGAGTTTACCACCTTAACAATAGCAATATAACTCGTTGATCCATTAATGGGTACAACTGAGCCAAAGACGGCTACCGCAGTCATACAATCACCCACATCCAAATCCAAAACCAGTCTTACAATCGATAGAGATAAAACAACAATCAAACACAGATAAAAACAGATCATTAAAATAAATAAAAGCGAAAAAATAAATTTCTTCACTCAACCTTCCAAGACCCACTGACGGCAGTTCAGGAGGGGGTCACATCACCATCACTTCATTTTCTTCCTTCATCGCCAAAATATGTTCTCTTCCTCACCTTCAAACTGCCCTCGTGACTCCCTCAATCGTGACGGCAGTTTAGGTGGAACACGTGTCGTAGCTTCAATCTTCTCTGAAGAGTCTCTCCTGATCCATGCCATTAGCCTTTCTGCCGGAAATCTCTCCTCTGCTCGCTACTTCCTCTCCCCGATTCGTCCGTCAAAGACACCACGAACTGCCGGTCTGAACCAAAATGCCTTCACCAGCCTCTTTCGTCACCCCTTCTTTCGATTCCTCTACACCGAAAATAACCAGATGGCCGGAAACCCAGCTCCGCTCCTCGGCCTAGGCCCATAGCGGACGTTCGAAGCTAGCGGTTGGCCGTGTGGCAACCCTAGAGAAAAAGACTAAGTGTTACCGCAAGGTAACCCTAGAGAGAGAAAAAATCATGTGCTTTTTTTTTACTTCAGGGGGGTTTTGGGGGTAGGAGTAATTAGGGCTGAAACTCAGTCCATTGAGTTTCAAACCCTTGTGTGCCTAGCGGGATTCGAACTCGAGACTTCCCACTAGGCACGATAAGCTCACAACCAGCTGGGCAGGAATGCTTGGTTAAATCATGTATTTAAATCAAGTGCTTTCTTTATTTTATACTCCGTAATAAATTAAATTTTTAAAAAAATGTATTTAAATTCCTCTCATTTTAAAATTCCAAAATCTGATTTTTTTAATTTTTTACTAAAAAGGAATGAAAGATATTAATGGTCAAACTTGTGTATTGGTAAGCGTTAAAAATGGACCATTTCAATTAAAAAGGAACGGAAGAAGTATTAAATATACGTGAAGACATAAAAGCTCTTCATGATCTCGTGTTTCATAAATATAAATACTGATATTTTTTATGGAAAAGAAGAATGGAGAATCCGAACCAGAACCGGCTCCTTTCAAATGGGATAGATAATGTCTGGTTCCTATTACGAGACCTGGCCGGCCTGATATACTCAAATCGGACCTACCCGTTAAATAGAAAAGGTGATTCTTAAATATATTTTTTAAATGTTACTACGGAATACGTATATAATACTTGAACCTACTCGGACTATACGCACTCTTAGGATGCTTTTACCTGGACTAAAATTTGTTGGTCTGGTCTGATAAATGTCCGGTCTCTGTGTATTTCATAACTATGGAAGTCTGGTCTGATCTTAACTAGTTGATATGGTCTGATAAGCGTTTAGTCTCTATGTAATTATGGAAGTCTGTTCTGGTCTGATCTGATTTGAATTGGTCTGGTCTGTTTAATTTAAGTCTGATATGGCCTGGTCTAGGATTGAAAATAGTCCATGTAAAAACACTTAAACAACAATAATCGTTTCAAAACAACAATAATCATTCCTCCCTATAATGAATACTCCGTGATAAAGTAAATAAAAGGGGCCATCATAACATATTTAGATTAAACATAAACAAACCCGTACAGGTAGCTCAGTTGGTCGAGTGGTGGAAGATTTGGAACAATGGACCAAGGTTCGAATCCTCGCAACGACCGGGTAAAGGTCACAGAACCTGAAATAAGGTTGGGCCTCTGGTGCGCACGGGTGTATGAGCCTACTACCATCATGCCGACTGAGTCACCGTGACTAACCTCCCCACCATCTTGTCGGGTCGGGGTGGAGGGCTCCTGGGGTGGGAGATTCCACCTTTTGGAACAATAGATTAAACCTAAACAAACCTTTAGGCTGTCCGCAATGGTAAGGATGAAAACCCCAAATTTAAGGTTTTCACCCCCAAATGTTGCTGCAACCCAACCATTTTTTGTATAGAAGGGTCTTAGAGTGAATTAGGAAAACCCATGGGGTGGGATGTTGAGACCTTGATTCACCCCAGGAGAGAGAGGAGAAACAAGAGCACAAAATGCTCTTTAAAATGGGTGATGTTGGGGCCCATTTAAAACAAAATCCCCAAAATGCTTTAAAATGATTTAACTTTTTTATTTATAATTCAAATTTTATAAAAAAATATCAAAATTTATGATTTTTTATGCTCTTTCATATGACATCAATATTATATATATAATTTTATTTAACAAAAAAAAAATTAAACTCCAAATTTATTTATTTTTACATCAGAATGTTTGACTTTTTAGATCATAATTAATGGTAATAATAAAAATGTCACATAAATGTTGTGTAGTGAGAAAATGTAAGGACTTATGTATTTATTTAAAAACATATGTGCTGAGTGATTATATTGACGGTGCTGGGTTGGAGGGAAAAACTGAATTGACTGGATGAATACGTATAAATTGAAGAGGAATTAGATTTATTAACGGGTTGGGTTACGGTTAGCCTTAGACCATCATATTTCAACTTGAAACCAGACAAATAGAAGTCTTGAATATAATCCGACAACCAAATGATTAGAGCATATTATTAAAGGGGCCGGGTACAAACGGATCCTTAAACCAGGCAAACAAACAACCCTGCCAGCATAGTAACGCCCCAAGAAATGAATACTGAGCTCTGCCCTGAGTTCTTGGGAGCCGGTGCTGGGGCCACCACCCATCCATCACCTCCTGCCGGCGGCGGCTGCTTCGAATCCGGGGTAGCAGGCGGCGGGGTCTGGGTTGCTGGAGCCGGCGGGGGAACCTGTGGGGCAGGGGAGGGGGAGGGTGGAGGTGGGGTTTTGGTGGCGTGGCGATGGTGAAGATAAGGAGACATGACGGTGACGGCAAGCCTTTGGCCCTTGAGGCAATGATCGGCAAATCCGCTGATGAAGTAGAAAGTGCCGTGGCGGGTGAACTTGAGGGCGGAGTGGCCGTCCGTGAGGTTGTGGATGGGACTGGTGGCGTTGCAGTGGTAGTACTCCCTCTTCCTCACCACCAACACCGAATCCTTCCCCTTCTCGTACTCGAAAACTGCAAGCCATACAAGCATAAGATATATTTTCAAGTTTAATTATTGGTAGAAATGGGGTCAAAGAGAATACAACTGTATGTGAAAGAGGGCCGATCCAAGAATTTGAATTAGTTTGGATTGAAGAATAACAAGAGAATTTGATTTTGCACCTCAATTTGATTTCGGGATGATATCCAACTTTGAACCTTATTTTATACTCCCGTTCGTCCCAATTTACTTAGCTATCTTTCACTTTTCTAGTCATAGATGGTAAAGTTTGACCAATTATTTAAACTAATATATTTATGCAAAATTTAATAATTTTATACTTTTATGATAGTATTTCTAACAAATAACATTTTCATATCATTTTCATATTATTAATACTTTCTCTATATAAACATATAATCGGTCAAAGTTAGATTTCATTGACTTGAAAAGTCAAGATTGACTAAGTAAAATGGGACGGAGGGAGTATGAAGTACAAGTATTTCGAAAAAGTTTTGACTTTGCATCTTATCATATACTCCGTAACATTTTGTGAACAAAAAATTCTAAATGGGATGCAAACTGAAAGAATTAATAAATCAAATGGGTGCAATTTCAAAGTTTTTTGAAAGCGATGTGCAAAGTCTAATATCATCCCGAAAATGGGTGAAAAGTCAAATTATCCCAAGAATAATATACAGATTTAAACATTTTTGGGATGGACTAGTTATGAAAAATAAAATAATTTACCTAAAATACACACCGTATTGAAATTTAGGTGCACAAAACTCATGTATGTGTGCACAATTAGACGGAGTATTTGAAAAACATCTGTAGTGAGCGTAATGTTGCGCAAAGGGCTATGGTGTGTTCAAGAAAACTAATTTGAGACAGGGATACTATTAATTACTCCGTATTTGTAAAATGAATATTTTTAAAAGTCTTAACAAAGTGTAAGCTACTGTTTAGAATAAGCATATATGGTTTTTAATGGTTGGGTTTCGATAAAAAAAATCTTAAAATATATTATCCTCCGTATCTCATTAATTGCAACATTGGAATATATACATTATTCATGTACTTTACTTTGACTACATTTTATTTATTAATGTATGTGAATTATTATTTTTTGAAAAATGTTATTAAAATTCGTCTCATTACTAAGTTTTATAATCTGATTTTTATTTTATTTTTACTAATACAGAATTAAATATAATGACGACAGTCAAAGTTGTACGTTGACAAATGTGAAATGTTTACCGTTTCAACTAAAAAGAGACGAGGAAGTAAGAAATTTGAGTTAATTATCAAAATAGGACTAAAAGTCATTCACTTTTCACAAATAGGACCAAAAAATAAACTATGTTTGCATAGGACTAATTATGTGTACCTTGGACAATTATAACCTTATAGCTATTAAAATGTTTTAATTCCTAATAAAATAATAGAAAATAATAAAAATTCGTAAAAAATACTAAAAAATTAAGAAAAACATTTCGATATTAAAAATTTAATTAATTTTTTTTTTCAAAAAATTAAAAAAATTAAAAAAATAAATAAATAAATAAAAACTCAAAAAAAAAATCGCCGCCGCCTCTGCCGCCTCAGCACCACCACCTCCAGTCACCAGGGGAAAAAATGTCAAGTTCATTACGAATGCCATATTTATGGCAGAAAAAAATGAAAATGTTGGCATTCGAAAAGAGAAATATGCCACTTTTTGGCATTTTCAAAAAAAATGGCATTTTTCTGGGAAAATGGCATTTTTTTCATCGGCCGGAGGTGGTGGTGCTGGGAGGTAGTACAGGCGGTGGGAAAGGCATCCATATTTTTTTAATTTTTTTTACGGAGTTTTACTATTTTTTATTAATTTTTTTAAAAATAAAATTATTTTAAAAAAATGAATTTTTTATTTTATAAAATTTTTATAAATTTTTTACTTATATTTCTACGAATTTTTTAATTTTTTTCGAATTTATTATGAATTAAATATTTAATTATGGCTTTTGACTATTTTTAATTCATATTTAATGGAAGGGTAAGAATGGAATGCAAAAATAGGTATGTTTCTAATAGGACTCATATGGTCCTATTTTGGAATAAAAACATAGCAAATCCTATTTTAGATTTTTGCCATAGTTTTAGTCCTATTTCAACTAATTTCTAAAGAAATTTTCCATCACACTTTTGATCTTTTAAATCAATCTTTTCCATGCGAAGATTGACACGAACAAATTTGAAAGAGAGGAGAAAAGAGTAAAAAGAAACATTACTGATGGTATCATTGACTCGGAAGCGCTGTGACTCAGCCCAGCGGTTCAACCCATCATCAGGCACCAAGCGCCACCCATCTTTTCCACCGGCGTGGAAAGTGCGTGGCGGCCGAACTTTAGTCGCCGCCGCCGCCGCCGCCGTCAACATCCCAAACGCAACTATTCCCAAGAACGTCGACATTAGCCGCAGCAGCAGATCACGACAGGAATCCATTCTCATCAGACAACCAATTAAGACCAGTTTAGAGTCAAACAAGGAAATCGAAATTATTGAAATGGAAGCTACTGGCCGGATATATAGACTAGGTGATTAGTAAAATAGAGAGGATTAGTGAATCATAATTAAGGTAACCTTAGCTGGGAATGCGCTGTACATTATGATTAGGAAAACTTAAGTTTGGCACTTTTTTTTATAATTTGAAAGGGATCGAAAACCATAACGTTCGTACGTCCACTAAAAAGTCATTATTATTGTTATTACCATATTTGGTGCTCCATATATTTATGGTAAATTCTAGTTCTTGGGCCATTATTACCAAAATAGAGGGTATAGTGGACATTTCAATGAAACTATTCAAACTCAACGTTTAATTGTAATCTTTTGTAATTGGATTTTCTTGAGCGTAATCTCTGATTTCCAGATTTCATTCCCAAATTACGGTCTTCGTTTTACATACTCCGTTCGTATTATTACGTGAAGTTTATGCATGTTTGCCACGCACTAAGGGTAGAAACTCGTGACTAATGAGTAATACTACCCATCGTCCCATCTCATATAGATTGCATATTTCTTGTGAACAAAGAATATAATATCTTTATCATTTTGAGATGACCCAAAAGGGAAAGTAAAAACTCAAAATGAGACGAAATGAGTAAGTAACAATGTAGATTTGGTATGTTTTTACTTAGACTGATTTCAGTCTCAAACCAAACCAGACATAAACAGATCGGATTAGACCATAATTAAACAGACTAAACCAGATCAGACCAGACTTTCATAGTTATAAAATACATAAGGACAGACATTTACCAAATTAGAGTTAAACAGACTAGACCAGACCAAACCATACCTGCAAATTTCAATCCAAGTAAAAACATCCTTATTGTTATTAGAAAATTTTGTATGAAAGAACTCTCTTGTGTTAGAAAACTTCTTCAATATTATAAGTATATATGTAAGTGCTACCAGTTTGGTTAAGTCTGGTCATTATTTTCACATAGTATCAAGAGCATGAGTTTTTTAATTTTTATTCGTGATCAATATGTCTTAGCTTAGGTCTGTAACCACAATGCACCTATCAAGCTCGCTCCACCCCAAACAATGACTAGAGGTCTCGAGATCTAGAGTCACCACCACAGTGTAACAGTGTCGGCCTTTCCAATCGCTGCCATGCCCCCCCCCCCCCCCCCCCCCCCCCGATAGTGTAAAATCTGATGTATCAAGATCATCAGATTTTAATTTTAATTTGTGATCAATATGTCTTAGCTTAGGTCAGTAACCACACGCTCCACCCCAAACAATGACTAGAGATCTCGAGGTCTGGAGTCACCACCAGAGTGTAACCGTGCCCTTTCCAATCGATGCCATTGCCCCCCTCTCACCCCCACCCATGATCCTGGGGATTGAGCTAGAAATATTCAAAAATATAAGAATACTATCAAAAATTGTAGACATAAATATGAATTTAATCCCTCCTGATTTAGAGTTTATTCTCATCTATATGAAAATTTCACTACTTAGTTTTAGTACGTTTGTGCCTTTTAGTAATATATATACTCTGTGTATGTCAATCTGCCTCAAAAACACATTTTTACTTTCCTCGTTTCAATATTCCAAAATGATATTCTCATTTTTCATACAAGATCTGTTAATAGAGAGATGCTCAACTTTACATGCACAAAATAAAAGGAAAGTAAAAAAAATATCTAGAATAAATAATTAGATTAAATCGGAGATAATTACATTGAATTAAAATCATATTTACAGTAAATCAAATATTAATTGAGATCACACAAAACATAATATACTAAAAAGTGTAATTTCACTCGAAAGTCGAAACTAATAATGGATCTGGGATTGTGTAACTAAAGAATTCGACTTTAGCGTACCGGGTAAAGGGAGTCATTGGCATATCATTGAATGGGTAACCTTCAAAAGAGCAACACACCTTGGAAGGGCAAGCAACCACCGGGCCATGTCATTTTTCTTAACAACCACACTGTAATCAAGCGGAAAGAGTTCAACAGAAAAAAGTAACAAAAACTAAAAGAACTAAAAAAGAGCTGAAGCAAAAAGGGGACTGTACTCCCACTAAAAGGAGCACAAAAAGATAAACAATAACATTCATGTCTCCTGCTAGAAAAATGATTTTGCTAGAAAGATTTAGCTTCTAACTTTAGTTTTGTTTTACTTAAACAATGTTTGTTAAGTTAATTTCTTTTTCTAGAGTGAAATCTGGAGTGTAATGTAAATAAAAACCTGCTGCTTTGTTTGTAAGTATATGCTTAATAAAAAGGGTATAACCTTGACTGTTGAGTGTTAATTCATGTTGTTGGCATGTATTTACAAAATCACCATTAATAGTTCACCTGAAATAGAAGTAATAGTGAATTGTTTAACCTGCTAAGTTAAAAGATAGAAGTAATACTTAGTTCCACCTTAATTCTCGATTGATGCTCTTTAATTAGTGGTGTTTTTTGTAAGTCTAGAAACTGTGTTTATGTGTTATTTCATTTCATTGTAGATCTAAGAAGATTTTTGACCCCAGATTCATTCACACTTCTTAAACTATTTATAATTCAAAGCTTTCTTAATGTTATTAAAGTTTACATAGATGGTATACGATTCATATGTAAAGTTTTAAACCTTATCTAATAAAACTAATGTTCTTGATTTATTTTCTAGACTATCGTGATGCATGGGCTAAAACACTTTGATACGGAAGATAGTCTGTTATCTTTCAGCATATCTTATTCATTAGCTTAATATAAGCTTCTAAGCTTCACTTCATACTCTTCTTTCATCTGTTAAATTTCTTTGTCTTATTTCTTTTTTCTGATTTCTCTTTGAATTGTCAAGGTTCAATGCTTTGTACTATTGCTGAATTGCATGCCCCTTATCTAAGAAAGATTTAGCTTCTAACTATAGTTTTGTTTTTCTTAAACAATGTATGTTAACTTACTTTCATGCTTTGTGTTTATTTGCGGATAAATTAAGAAAGCCAATTTCTTTACTTTGAGAATTCTTAAGCTTCACATTTACTTTGGACAAGGTATATGTTTACTTCTTCAATATCTTTGATATGGTTCTCTCAGTCTTCATCCAAAATCTTCTTCATTTACTTTCTTCTTCCCATAACATTTCAAAATACAATAATGGCCTAGGAAAAATAATATATGTCAACTACAACCTCTAATCTCATGCAGTTTTTTTTAATCTATAGATTCATTAAAGTGATAATCTGATTAATCTACTGCTATGTTTCTTTTTGCTACTACTTTAGTCATATGAGTTTCAATGTTAGTTTGTAAGTATATGCTTAATAAAAAGGGTATAACCTTGACTGTTGAGTGTTAATTCATGTTGTTGGCATGTATTTACAAAATCACCATTAATAGTTCACCTGAAATAGAAGTAATAGTGAATTGTTTAACCTGCTAAGTTAAAAGATAGAAGTAATACTTAGTTCCACCTTAATTCTCGATTGATGCTCTTTAATTAGTGGTGTTTTTTGTAAGTCTAGAAACTGTGCTTATGTGTTATTTCATTGCATTGTAGATCTAAGAAGATTTTTGACCCCAGATTCATTCACACTTCTTAAACTATTTATAATTCAAAGCTTTCTTAATGTTATTAAAGTTTACATAGATGGTATACGATTCATATGTAAAGTTTTAAACCTTATCTAATAAAACTAATGTTCTTGATTTATTTTCTAGACTATCGTGATGCATGGGCTAAAACACTTTGATACGGAAGATAGTCTGTTATCTTTCAGCATATCTTATTCATTAGCTTAATATAAGCTTCTAAGCTTCACTTCATACTCTTCTTTCATCTGTTAAATTTCTTTGTCTTATTTCTTTTTTCTGATTTCTCTTTGAATTGTCAAGGTTCAATGCTTTGTACTATTGCTGAATTGCATGCCCCTTATCTAAGAAAGATTTAGCTTCTAACTATAGTTTTGTTTTTCTTAAACAATGTATGTTAACTTACTTTCATGCTTTGTGTTTATTTGCGGATAAATTAAGAAAGCCAATTTCTTTACTTTGAGAATTCTTAAGCTTCACATTTACTTTGGACAAGGTATATGTTTACTTCTTCAATATCTTTGATATGGTTCTCTCAGTCTTCATCCAAAATCTTCTTCATTTACTTTCTTCTTCCCATAACATTTCAAAATACAATAATGGCCTAGGAAAAATAATATATGTCAACTACAACCTCTAATCTCATGCAGTTTTTTTTAATCTATAGATTCATTAAAGTGATAATCTGATTAATCTACTGCTATGTTTCTTTTTGCTACTACTTTAGTCATATGAGTTTCAATGTTAGTTTGTAAGTATATGCTTAATAAAAAGGGTATAACCTTGACTGTTGAGTGTTAATTCATGTTGTTGGCATGTATTTACAAAATCACCATTAATAGTTCACCTGAAATAGAAGTAATAGTTAATTGTTTAACCTGCTAAGTTAAAAGATAGAAGTAATACTTAGTTTCACCTTAATTCTCGATTGATGCTCTTTAATTAGTGGTGTTTTTTGTAAGTCTAGAAACTGTGCTTATGTGTTATTTCATTGCATTGTAGATCTAAGAAGATTTTTGACCCCAGATTCATTCACACTTCTTAAACTATTTATAATTCAAAGCTTTCTTAATGTTATTAAAGTTTACATAGATGGTATACGATTCATATGTAAAGTTTTAAACCTTATCTAATAAAACTAATGTTCTTGATTTATTTTCTAGACTATCGTGATGTATGGGCTAAAACACTTTGATACGGAAGATAGTCTGTTATCTTTCAGCATATCTTATTCATTAGCTTAATATAAGCTTCTAAGCTTCACTTCATACTCTTCTTTCATCTGTTAAATTTCTTTGTCTTATTTCTTTTTTCTGATTTCTCTTTGAATTGTCAAGGTTCAATGCTTTGTACTATTGCTGAATTACATGCCCCTTATCTAAGAAAGATTTAGCTTCTAACTATAGTTTTGTTTTTCTTAAACAATGTATGTTAACTTACTTTCATGCTTTGTGTTTATTTGCGGATAAATTAAGAAAGCCAATTTCTTTACTTTGAGAATTCTTAAGCTTCACATTTACTTTGGACAAGGTATATGTTTACTTCTTCAATATCTTTGATATGGTTCTCTCAGTCTTTATCCAAAATCTTCTTCATTTACTTTCTTCTTCCCATAACATTTCAAAATACAATAATGGCCTAGGAAAAATAATATATGTCAACTACAACCTCTAATCTCATGCAGTTTTTTTTAATCTATAGATTCATTAAAGTGATAATCTGATTAATCTACTGCTATGTTTCTTTTTGCTACTACTTTAGTCATATGAGTTTCAATGTTAGTTTGTTTCAGGGTTTTTTGCATTCTGAGTTTAATTCCATTTTTGGAACTCAATTCTAAGAAGAGGATATGGTCTGTGATCAAGCATGTAAACACAAAATGTGGAAATGAAAGTGGTATGCTTGGGTAGCTTCTCTTCTCTTATGATATTAACCTGAAATTTATCAATCTTCCTGCAAAAGTTAGTTTTTTTTATAAAAAAGATATTTTTTAATTTACGGCACATTTTATTTTTAGCGGTTTTAATCAAGGCCATGTGTATAATTAATTGAGGCGGAATTTATTTACAGTTTTAATTTAAGGCACAATCCTCCCCTTGATATATGCATGAGTTTTAAACCTTCCTTCATACTCCGTATAAGATTTTCCATATTTACTTTGCTTGGTTTGCTTAAATAGTTACTCTGCTAATTAAGGCATAATTGGCTTAAACAGTTTTAATTTAAAGCAGCTTTTATTTTAAGCATTTTTTAATCTAGGTCGGAATTAATTTGAATTTTTTATTTATGGCAATGTGTATGATAAAGACCGAATTTATTCAGACAATTTTAATTCAACGCAAATTTTAAAAAATGGTCTTTTTTTTTAAAGGCTTTTTTAATTTAAGGCATGTTTTATTTTAAAAAAGATTTTTTTTTTACAAAAAAGGTCATTTTTAAATTTACGCCATATTTTATTTTTAGCAGTTTTAACCAAGGCCATGTGTATAATTAATTGAGGCGGAATTTATTTACAGTTTTAATTTAAGGCGTAATCCTCCCCTTGATATATGCATGATTTTTAAACCTTCCTTCATATAAGATTTTCCATGTTTACTTTGTTTGGTTTGCTTAAATAGTTACTCTGCTAATTAAGGCATGATTTGCTTAGATAGTTTTAATTTAAGGCAGCTTTTATTTTAAGCAGTTTTTAATCTCAGTAGGAATTAATTTGAATTTTTTTATTTATGGCAATGTGTATAATAAAGACCGACTTTATTCAGACAGTTTTAATTTAAGGCAAATTTTATTTCTACTCATTTTAAATCTCGGTAGTAATTGTTGCCAAAAAAAGATCTCGGTAGTATATGAACTTTTTTGTTTGGGTAATTTTTCCATGTTTAAGTACTTTATTTATATTTTTCAGAACACAATCCTCCCCTTAAGATATGCACGACTTTAAAACCTTCCTTCATTAAAGATTTTCCTCATTTAATTTGCGAGGTTTTTTCGCAAATGCTTACTCTTTACTAAAGCATAGGAAACAGTTATATATAGCCCCTACCAATGCATACCATCATAAGTGTGTCAAACCATTCTACCACTTATTTAGGCCATTTTTTTTCTATTTTCTTGGTCTGCTACAGAACTTACATCTGTTAATATTTTCTTTCAATTATATTTTCTTCCATAACATTTTCGTTTTACAACATTCTATAGATCTTAAATGGCTCCAAAATTGCTTAAACTTGCTGAAGTCACTGGAATACTTGAACCCCATGACGCGATATTGGTTCGTGTTGTTCGCAAGTGGATTGTTCATTACAAAGACACATAGAAGGGAGTCCGTTCTCTAGAGCTTTTGCTTGAAAATGAGAAGGTATTTGACCATACTTAAAATAATTTTATATAATACGTATACTTTTGACAGAGTTTAATCTTACAGTAGTATTAATATTGTAAAATATAATAATAAATAATATTGAAAACTGATTAATTAGAAAAATATATTCAAATTATTCATATCCTATACTATATTCGCACTATTTCAATTAAGCTTTATAACAAGTTAAAGTTAACATGTTTTTATAACATTTACACTTACTTTATTAAATAAAATTTACAACTCAGTAAGTCCAATTATAATTTCGGTGAATTTTACATCTCAGTAAAATTCTTTTGGCTGATTTGTGCCCATTGAGATGAAGAGTTATACTATTTCGATGGTTATGCTATTTTAGAAAGTGCCTTCATGAATTTTTTTATTTAAAAGCCCTCATAATGCATTAAATCTACTTTAAGTAGAAGTTCTGCTTAATAGATATTATATGATATTCATCGATTGGTTGTGATGACTGATTACTTTGGAATATGTAATCGTGATCATCCAGTTGGCACGCACCAACAAACGCTATGGTAGGACAAACCTACATACACTTGCATCTATCAATTTATCGCAATGAATTATTACTTTAATTAATACTTTACTTATATTTCTTTTCAAAAACTGAATTCAGGTGAGCAGATGGGGGTCTCAACATCATATAATGCCTCAAAGGTTCTCCTTGACGTCAATGTCCCTTATATCGAAGAGTTTCGAACAAGGTAATATTGATAACGATCTTCATGGCAACCTTCAATAAGCTTTGTCAATCTATTCATCTGAATCTTTCTTAATCCTCACATGACAATCTAATACTGTAACACACTTTACCTTTGTTTTCAACCTTGGTAAGTTGGTAATGGCGTTTAAACTTAGTATTGTCATCAACTCATCAATGGTGAACAAATAATGCAACCACTTCAAGTCATACAAATAACACATGATTACTAAATTAAAAGACTCTTCATAGTTGTAAGTGCATATGTTGATCCAGCCTTGCATATAGGGTGATTAGTGTCAAAATATTGTAGAGTAGAGACCATGATAAGTGTGAATATTGATTATATTGATAATGTCCATGATAAGTGTGCAGTATGTAGCAGATTTAAAAAAACATTTTTAGCAATTATTTCAATCTATTGACATTTATTGAAATTACTAAGGATGTTGGATATGGGCTCATCACAATCCTTGAGCTCGACATCATCACGAGCTGCATTAAGTGATGATAAAGAAGTTGGAATTGTCAAGATGTTGTCTGAACTACAAACTACTAAGGAGGTATATAATCATTCAATTTATTTCTAAATTTCAAGTTCTCGCACTCTTATACGGTATGTTTATCATTTTCATTTGTGAACAATGTACACTTGGAACAGGCTCGTGGGTTGTGGTTTTATGGGAAGATAAACGCTATTCTGAATGCTACCAGTTGGGCTTATATGGGATGCTTCAAAAGGTCATATTTAGTGATAGCCTCCAAGACAGTCATATTTAGTCACAAGTAGATTCTTAATTAATCATTACATTTATTTAGATGTTTACATATCTAAATAAATAACTTAAGCTACGAGGAAAGGACATACTTAAGCTACGATTCAGCATCTTCCTTCTGACTCAGATAACGAGCTCTTTCAAGACATTCATTCTCCAGAATTTCTTAATAGCATCAAATGTTCTGGTGTGCCAAGTCATGAACTGAAGTTTTAGGTGGGTGTGCCTGTGATGCTTATGAGAAACATAGATCACACTGTTGGGTTATGCAATGGCACGAGACTCATGGTAACTAAACTCGGGACTCATATTATTGAGACTCAGATGATGTCAGGATCAAATGCTGGTGAAAAATATCTTATTCTCAGACTTAGTTTAACTCCTACGGACTTGAAGCTCCCCTTCACGTTTCAGCACAGACAATTTCCTCTTATGGTTAGTTATGCGATGACGATTAATAAGAGTCAAGGACAATCGTTAGAAAGGGTCGGTGTATTCTTGCGGCGTCCGGTTTTTACTCACGGACAGTTATACGTTGCGGTATCGAGAGTTACAATTCCATCCGGGTTAAAATTTGTCATATGTGACGATGATGGTCAACCAAGCAATACTGCTCTAAATGTTGTTTATAAATAAATGTATAACAATTTATAGATTTTTTCATATGTCATTTCTTATATGTTAAATTATATCCTTCGAATGTTTAAACTATAGTTCTATTATCATTCAAATCCTTACATTCTCGATGAAATGTTTTCCCGTGCAACGCACGGGTTAAAAACTAGTGGAACTTGAAAGGATGGACATATTGATTTGTTTAACGTAATCAAACCGTACCAAATCGAATTAACCGAACCGAATCAAATGCAATTTGATTTGAATATGGTAACATTTCTTTCAAATCATATTATACCAAATCGAAAACGAATAGCCTAATAAAACTGCACCGAATTGAACTACATAAAATTAATAAAATCTTCATATCTTATTAAAAATAATAATAAATCCAAACTGAACTAAATCGAACTGAACCAAACCAAAAGATATTTTTGTTTGGTAATCAATCATCCAATTCAATCATTTCAAACCAGAAATGATATATTCACATACAGAAAATCGATATATTCACCTCTAAAATATTTGGTTGGTATTGAATTAGATTTGTTATAAGAAACCAGAAACTAAACACATACGAGTAGTAGCATTAGTGAACTACTAGTGACCCGTCTTTTGGGAACACAAACGACCATATCCAAATACATATAAATATGAATTTCAGTAAAAAAAATGAATTTCAGTAAAAAAAAATTGAATTTCAGTGGTTTGTTATTTGCCGATCGGCGATTGTATCAGAGGAGTGATGGATGTAAATTTTATTTATATATTGTTCTATCCAATCGTTATCATAAACGGATAGAAGAAAAATAAGGATATGAACATTAAAGTTTATATATTTAAATAGGAGATTTGAGTTTTGGTTTCATAACTTTTAACGATGCTCATTATTATTCAAATAACTTTACTCGCTTGTAAATTTATTTCTATAACCAATGAATCTATGCAATTTAAGAAATTTTCTATTGGAAATGAAAAAATCTGCATCGGATGTCATCGGCATAGTATTTTCTGTAAGAGAGTGTACTTTCCTTTGTAATATCCTTAATTTGCACATATTTCTTAGTTACAGAACTAAATCTTCAAGTAAGAAAAGTTACAGAACAAAAATTACAAATCTCCCTATTTAACTTAACTTTTTTATTAAAGTATGTTATGGATTTTTTTTAACAGTTTATAAAATTGTGTGTGTATGTGTTCTCCCTTAAATATTAGTTTTCAAAACTAGTAGTCTTACATAATACTTAATAGGAGATTTAAAAGAAAAAACATGTAAAATAATTTGTCATTACTTAAACAAGTAAACAATAAAACAACTAATTGTTTAAGACTTAAGATAATTATTATATCAAAATTAATAGTTTTGTAATGTTTAATTATCTTTATTAGATAATTAGTGCTCGATTTTGTAAAATATCAAACGATATTAAATATCAGACACACTAGTTAAACAGTTTTTGGATTATGTGAAGTGAATCCAAAATATAAATGTTTATTGACATTAAATTTGAAAATTCATTAGTTCTTACTTTCTAAAAACAATTTATTCCACAGATTATAAACTTTAACTTATTTTGGAATGAATACAAATATAATATGCGTCATCTATATGAATCAGCATTGTAATATTTTTCTAGAAATAAATAATCTTATGCTTACCATTGTACTATTAAGAAAACTCCTCGTGACTCACAAAACACCTTCCTTAATAAACAAAAATTGCAATTCAAAAACTAATTCTTTATTCCAATAAAATTCATACGGTTACGTTAAACTAGGCAGAAGTCTTTTAAAAAGTATTGGTGATGTGTATCATTTAAACACTTTAGCTTCAAAAAGTTTAATAAAATGTTATATATATTTTTTTATTTTCAAATAATCTTTCTTTAATTTGTCATTCTTACACTTTAATACGTAGTATAATGTATCAATACTTTTTTCTAGATCACTTCAATTAGAAAAAACAATGTTATTTTTTCATTGTCTAAACTTCGAATGTACTCCGTAATACATTTAAATGGCCTGACATCGTGTATGTATAAATGGAATTTTTTGAATAAAAAATAACGAAGAGCCCTACACAAGCGAAAAAAATTCGCCCCGCTACACTAAAGCAAACAAAATCTCCCCGCTACAATAGCGGGGAAAAATTTGCCCCCTAGACTAACGTAAAAAATTTCGCCCTCTTGGATCAATCCCTACTTACATTAAATAGTCAATTAAAAAACGTTTCACAAACACTACACTAAACAATCAAAGTTAATCCCAAAAGCCAAATGATTGATCTATGTACCAAACACCCTCTTGGTGTGTTTGTTTGTCAAGACACATAGTTTGTACGTGTCATGTTATACACGCCGGTCAAATTGTCTATGCACAGACATTCTTTTGTTTTGTGAAGTGAATAAAATGTTGTTTGTGCGAAAAATGATTTTTTGACAAAATGAAAAAAAAAATGTTTGTGCACAAACAATTCAGACGGCGTGTGAAATGACATGTACAACAATCGTGGACATGGAACATGTATTTGGGTCGTTGTTTGTCATAGCATTAATGTACATGACTTCACTAAGATTATGGATTGTTCACCTCTTGCATAGATGTACACTTCAGTCTTTCACTTTAACATTAGAGATGCTCTAATTCTATTAGCAATTTAGCATTTCAGCTTTTTCGCAAATGATTTGAATATTAAAGTATTGCACCCTGTAAACTACTAGCATGGAACAAATGTAGCAACTCAATTTGCAAATATGTCATATCAATTTTCACACAACAATAGTAAATAAATTTGACGTAAAACGAAATGTAATAAGACAAAAAATATATGGACATTTCATTCTACGTAAATCTCTGACTATGATATTGCACGGCACTTGTTTTATAAATGGGAAATGAATGCCCGACTCCACCACCAGCACTTTCCTATAAATCATGAATCATGTAATATTGGGCCAGGTTGATTTTACACCCAATTTTTTCATCGACTCCATAAAGGTGGTCCTTCATTGGCATTTGTTGAATTGTTGGTCAGAGATTTACGTAGAATGAAATGTCCATATAAACAGAATATAAACAGGTTACAAAATGACAACAAGTCTTATGTCTGTCGTCCGCTCTAGAACCAGACCTAGAATCAATCACCTTCGTAAAAGCAATTAATTAGATTCGCTGATCCCGCTTTGAGCTTAACTGAGCCAATGACTTGCAAACCAGACTCATCATCATATGTCTTAGATTCTAGAGTTTTCTTGCCGGAAAAACACGGCACAACCAAAACAGAGTAAAAATCCAAATAAAAGTGAAACATGAAGAAATCTAAAGAAGCAAAATAATATTCTTGAACCCTAGCACCTCGTTCAACCTCTGGTGGTGGTTAAGGAGGAGGCCGAATCACCGCTATGATTGTTGACACGGAGTGGGTCGAAGCATCGACCAATCGGAGTAGATTCCTCTTGTCCTGCCTCCCATCCGTCGTGCTCACTGCCCAACCATCTCCGACGGACATCTACCCTTCCCGATTAGCCCTCATGTTCGCCGCTGCTCTCCTGCCATCACATTGTTCTTGAATGGTGGCTTGGAAGCCACCTTCATCGATTGGTAATTGAGTCCGCAAACAACCCTACCCGATTTGCACCCTGAGTGATGTTTGGAAACTCGCTGCATCGTTGAAATCTGCTCCTAGATCACTCGTTGCTACAAGAGGAAGGAAGGTCGGATCAGGTGACTGCCGTCTCCGCCGGAAGAAACTCCTAGGAATTAACCCTAGAGACGGCCGTCTCTAGTTCACTCACTAGACTTTATCCATCCCATTCTTTTTTAAGCCGTTTTTAAAGCCTGAGATTTTAATCTTACTTACAAGTTACAAATACTATATATAATACATTGCTCTACATTTTTCATATGGTTCTGCGAGTTTTTTATTGTACTTACAATATATTATTTAACTGACTTTTCGATTGAATTATAAGTAAAAAAATTGTGAAAAATGCACGTTCGTATGGACTAAAGTATGGGCTAAAGTATCCATTGCATTCGTACTAAAAGTCTAAAATGCACGTTCGTAGTATGTGGTCTTTTAGTAGGAAATAATATTTGTTATGTGTGGCTAATAAATAAATAAATATTTCAAAATAGGAAAAATACCCACGCAAATTTTATTTTTAGACAGCAGTATATTTCATTATAATTTTTTTTTGCAAGGTATCAATGCAGAAACACGTAATATATCAAAGATGAAAGCTTAAAATAATTTTAGTTAGACGAACCAATCACATTTGCAATTAATTGCAAATGAATAACGGTAGGATGGATATAGATGGGTCATTGGATTGAATCTTGTCACACTTACAAAATAAATCATAATTAAAAAAATCACTTGCTTATTTAGAATTGCAAATTTCTATGATGCCTTCTAAAATTTACGATATACTGGTACTCAGTTTGTAATTGTTCTGGCCTGTAATCTTCTCACATACTTGGCATCATAGTACATATTAGGATAACAACGGCACTCAGGGGCGGAGACAGGGGAGGGTTGATCTTGGCCTGACCCAGCCCAAATTTAAAAAATGTCTTAATTTTTAGTGTAAAAAATTTCGGGCAAAAAAATTTCCAAAAAAAAAATTATCGGCCCAATTCGGCCCAGTATCCTGGCCCCCCTGAGGGCACTCATGGTATACAACCAGTGGCGGCTTTGTGATTCAGGTTATGGGTGTTCATTTCTTTTTGTACAATTAAAACTTGAAAGAAAATCGGAATCACGAAGCCATTGGGAGTCGTCGCTGTCATGCAATGAAATTCGCTGGGAGACCGGTACGACACGCAGCCAGAGAAGGCCATGTCATGCATCAGCATCAAACGTATCTCTGCCTCCAACATGAGCAATTCGCTTGCCCATGGATTGGAGTCGTTGGACCTAGGGTCTAGGGATGGATTGGACCCAGGACTGA